GCCTAGGCCTGAGAGCTGTTGGATAAGAAACGAATGCTTTACTGAGTTGAAAGCATTAGATTCATCCAGTGTGAGGAGGAGGGTCTGGTGACCCTTCCTCCCACACCCAGCTCGGTAGGCATCGACGATCCTCTTCAGCGCCGTGTCGCAGCTTCGGCCTCGGCAGAAGCCATGGATCTCTGGCACTCGGAACTTCTCTCCTAGGCCGTGGATGAGCCTTTCGGCTATCACCGACTCCAGCAGCTTCGAGACGCACCTAAGGAGAACTATTGGGCGCCAGCCCGAGGGCTGGAAGATGTCGCGGCCGGGCTTGGCCAGGGCAATGCATTTGCCCTCCTTCCATTCGGCAGGGAACTCGCCGGACCTAAGGATGTCAGTGAAGGCCGTGGCCCATTTGGCCGCCAGCTCAGGCGCCGTCTTCTTCAAAACTTCAGCATTGACGCCGTCGCTCCCAGGGGCAGAGATCTTCAGACGGCCGATGGCTTCCAAGACCTCCTGTTCGGTTACTGCTGGGATGCGATCTGCCGAGCCTACACCGACGCGAACCTGAGCCATCCCCTGGGACCGCCTAGGGTCCCGAGGGAATAGCTTCTCTAGCAGATGGGCTGCTTGGTTGGTGCTTGGGTCGCCATTCAGTATCGCTGCCGCTGACTTACCCGTCGGTGGCCGGATACACTTGGAGAAGTCTTGGAGGGACGCATAGAAGCGGTCCCTTGCCCTCTTCTTGGCTGCTCGGGCTTCTAGCCTGAAGAGTCTCCTTCTCTCAGTCAGCTCTTCTTTCCAGTGCTCGGTTCCGATGAGGTTGCCATCCCTCTTCGCCTTGTTCCACTTCTTGGTCGCCTTGTTAAGGCTCTGTTTCAGCTTCGTGAGCTTGCGGCTCCACCACGAAGGGGAGTCGCGACCCTCCATAACGGGGGTGTTGGCAGCAACAGCATCTGAGAGACCTGCTGAAATGGCCGCGGCGGGGGAGTTGTCAGGTATGGCTGCTGCTGCTTCTCGACCTTCTCAAAGTTGGTGAGTCGCAGCTGTGGTCGCTTGGGATACTCGTGCTTGGTGT